GTGTTGAATGATTCTCCAAGCTTGTTTTGCAAGCAAAGCATCGTTAAACTTTGATAGATCTCGAAAACCAAGACCTCCTTCTTTCTTGGAATATTGTAATTTTTTCCAGGCTATCCAAGGTATCCCACGTTTATTTGAAGATTTTTCCCACCAGAAATTCATGAGGAGAGTTTCAATCTCCGAAATAATTCCTTGGGGTAATTTAAAGCAGGACATTGCGTATACCGGCATAGCTAAAGCAACAGATTTTATCATAATCTCCTTTCCAGCTGGTGATAAAAATTTTGCACTCCAATTGGATGTTCTTTTTTTGACACGTTCGATAATATATTTAAACATTTCCTTCTTCTTGCGACCAAATTGTTCCGGGAGTCCAAGATATTTTCCCCCTCCCCCTTGATTCGGGATACCTAAAACTGCCTTAAGACGATGTTGTGTAGAACCAAACACCCGTGATCCAAATGTTATCATTGACTTTTGAGCATTGATTTTCTGACCGGAATAGTATTCGTAGACATCAAAAGCTTCTTTTAATGCTTTACAATTTTTGACATTTGCTTGACAAAAAAATAAACAATCGTCCGCAAACTGTAAATGGGTAATTGGAGGAGCTCCATTTCCCACACGAACTCCTCTTATTTCACCATCTGAAGCTTTTGATTTGATGAGATGACTTAATATATCTCCGCATAAGATAAAGAGATATGGGGACAAAGGGTCACCTTGTCGAATGCCTCGGGTGGGTTTGATATGTCCAAAGGGTGTACCGTTGATCAACACTGAAAACCGGACAGATTTAACCGCAGCCATTACCCAACCTATCCATGTATCACAAAAACCAAATAGTCGCATTGTTGTTTCTAAAAACTCCCATTCGACTCGATCATAAGCTTTGCTGACATCAGTTTTCACAGCCATATACGTTTGTGATACCCTCTTTCTAACTTTAAGGGAATGCATAATCTCATGGGCTATCATAACGTTATCATTAATAATTCGTCCTGGGATGAATGCAGCCTGAGCCTCCGAGACAATAGAATCTAGGTGAGATTTTAAACGGCTAACCATACATTTAGAAATAACTTTGTATAACACATTACACAACGCTATTGGTCGATAATCCGAGAAAGTTGAAGGATTTTCAATCTTCGGAAGTAGACAAAGGTTTGTATGATTAATGTGCGGCTTCATAGTAGATGTTGTAAAAAAGTTTTTAACCTCTTTTATGACATCCTGTCCAACAATATGCCAACACTGTTTGTAGAACCGCGCCGTTAAGCCATCCGGCCCCGGAGCTTTATCGTCACCTATTTGGCAAATGGCGTCATAAATTTCATTGTCGCCGAACTCTCTTGTTAAATCTGTGTTAATAGTCGGAGTAACAGTTGGTCGAAAATCCGCAAAATCTATTGGAGAGACTTGGATGCCATTCGTTGTGTAAATATCGTTAAAGAAAGCTTGAGCGTGAACGCCAACATCATTATTTCCAGAGTGTACTCTGCCTTGGTCATCAAGGATCGAAATGATTCTGTTTTGAGAGAATCTATATTTTGCACAAGCATGGAAATAGCTTGTGTTACGATCTCCTTCCTTCATCCATTGATTTCTACTTTTCTGCTTCCAATACTTCTCCTCATCAACATACGCTCTAGCTAAAGCTTCTTGAATTTGTGGAATTTGTTGTCTCTCTGCTCTCACTGTACTCTCCATTGATCTGTTTAGCCGAGTTTGCAAAGTACGGATTCGCACTTCGGCGTTCAGATTTGATCTATGTTTCAAGCTAGCCATTGCTTTGCGACATGACCGAATACGTTCCGTAATAGCCACCGTTTGCAAATTATTCCTAATGTTCCATCCTTCTTTTACCACTTGTTTGAACTCAGGGATGTCCACAAGCCTCTTATCAAAACGAAAAGGTCTATGACGATAAGTTGTCGAGTCATTGATGTGAACAACAATCGGTTTATGGTCAGAACCTGTAAATTCCAAGAACTCTGTTTCTGCATTTGGGAAGCTAGCAGCCATGGCCGAATTAATAAAGACTCTGTCCAAACAACACTTCACAGTGTGAGAATGCCTTTCTCCCACCCACGAGAATCTATCTCCTCTTGATCTCATATCTACTAAATCACAATTTGCAACCATATTTCGGAAATCTCGAAAAGTCCATTCATCTCTCAATGGGCCTCCAAGTTTTTCAGAATTAGATAGAATCTCATTGAAATCCCCGATTAGCATCCATTCTTCATCTCGATTTTCTGAAATTCTTTCAAGTTTTTCCCAGAGAATATAACGTTCGCTTTGAACCGGATGGCCATACACACAAGACAAGTGGAAGCTCTTATTATTATATGTTACATGAGCATCAATGAGTCTTTCATCCCGAGAAATCAAGGATAAAGAAACACTGTTTTTCCACATCAAAGCTAAGCCACCACTCCTTCCACAGGGGGGCTGAGTTATTACATTAGGATATCCTAAATCACACGCTAATTTATATAGTACATCACACGGGTTCAGAGTTTCAACTAGGAATAAAATATCAAACTTAAACAAACGACACAACTGAAATAAACGGGACTGCGTAATAGCGGCGCCGATGCCTTGGCAATTCCATGAAGCTGTCCTCATATTGGATCCCTTGGGGGTACCGGGCCCCCCGCGCCTCCGTCTATTCCATCATGTCGTGAGCATGAACCCGCAGATTCAGTTCTTCTCTCCTTCTTACAGAAATGGCTCAGGACCGCCATTTCATCCGCAGCTTCGTCACGCTGGTACATTGCCTCAAACTGAACCCGTTTCCTCTTCATAAACACAAACTGTTGTTGAGCATTGTCACTTGAAGCCTCCAGGAAATCCTTTTTCTCTGCGTGTAGACCATCACTTCGACTAAATTTGGCATGAAGATAGCGAAGTCTCTCAGCAGTGAGTTCCGTGTCTTCAAAAGCACTAGGGAGTGATGAAACATCATTGCTTACAGATTTGTTAAAACCAACCGAAGGGACAGAGGCTTGGAGTCCAGGAATGAGAGTAACAGGATCAACAGTTTGTAGGGTCTCCGTATCCGACATGTTTCTGTCACTTTCATCACCATGGTGATCTTTATAAAATCTTTTTAAAACCCTTGTAAAACCCTTTAAAACACTTTAAAAAACCTTGTAAAACCTTATAAAACTCTTGTAAAAACCTTTTAACCTACAAAAAGCCTTGTAAACACTTTAAAACACTTTTTAACCTCTTTTAAACCATCATAAAACCCTTGTAAAAACGTATTAACCTATAAAAACCCTTGTAAACCCTTATAAACCCTTTAAAAAACTTTAAAACCATTGTAAATCCTTAAACCTCCTTATAGAAATAACATCATAATCTTTTAAACCTTGTAAACCCTTATAATCACTTGTATAACCTATAAAAACTCTTGTAAAAACCTTTTAACCTACAAAAACCCTTGTAAAACCCTTTAAAAAACTTTAAAAAACCTTGTAAAACCTTATAAAACTCTTGTAAAAACCTTTTAACCTACAAAAAGCCTTGAAAAACACTTTAAAAACCATTGTAAAAACCTTAAAACCTCCTTATAGAAATAACATCATAAATCTTTTAAAGCCTTGTAAAACCCTTATAAAACACTTGTATTAACCTATAAAAACTCTTGTAAAAACCTTTTAACCTACATAAATCCTTGTAAAACCCTTTAAAAAACTTTAAAAAACCTTGTAAAACCTTATAAATTAAACTCTTGTAAAAACCTTTTAACCTACAAAAAGCCTTGTAAAACACTTTAAAAACACTTGTTAACCTCTTTTAAAACCACCAAAAAACCCTTGTAAAAACGTGTTAATCTATAACAACCCTTGTAAAACCCTTTAAAAAACTTTAAAAACCATTGTAAAAACCTTAAAACCTTCTTATAGAAATAACATCATAAATCTTTTAAATTTCTTGTAAAACCCTTATAAAACACTTGTATTAACCTATAAAAACTCTTGTAAAAACCTTTTAACCTACAAAAACCCTTGTAAAACCCTATAAAACACTTTAAAACCTCTTGTAAAACCCTTATAAAAATCTTGTAAAAACGTATTAACCTATAAAAACCCTTGTAAAACCCTTTATAACACTTTGAAACAAGCTGGATATAAATTGCAATAGTTAACAATATTCTTCATCTAATAAACTGTTCCATAAACACATTCGTTATCACTGTTTTACAAAATAACATACTGGTTTAAAAAGATAACTACAATAAGAAAGGAACTTATGTTAACTACATTCTTTCACACTTGCTTTTTCCTGATGTAGATATCCCATTCTTGCTGCAAAATAAATTAATAAAAAAGCAATAAGAAACGATTCAACATAAAAAAATTGTTTTCGCATTTATTTTGAAAAACTGTTTTAAACTAACCTTTATTACGCTGAAAAGTCTTGTTGCCAGATACTTCTGTTCGGCGCTAGCTCCATGTTGTTTGTCTGGATGTAAAGCAAGCAGTGCTTTACGTTTTGCTAAACCTATCTCATTGTCATTGTTTACCAAATTGAAGTGATGAACAGTCTCCCATGAACTATTGGACCAAATAATCTGTAATGTATAATAAATTTCGTTAGTTTTTGTAGTTATGAGAAAAATAACAAATTATTATAAGATTACCTGGTGAAGTGATGACATCATAAAAATGAAGTTCTTGTTTTTAGCCCAGAGTATGACCCTATCATCAATTTCCTTCTGTTGTATCTCACTTAGTTTTCGATCTTGGACAGTAAATGACACCATGAAAATATTAGATGTTCCATTTTATTATTAAAAAAAAACATCATTTTTAACAAAAAAAAATAATGGTGTACCTGAATGTTCCTTCTTTAGCCGAGCTTCTTCTTCCTAGAGAAATAAATTAGCAAAACACAGAAGACCATGAAAACGTCTTATTATAATCATTTAAATACGTACTAAAACCTTGTAAAAAACGTTGTAAAATGATTTTGTAAATTATTATGATTTAACTAATGCATACCTTATCATTCACTTTCGATTGTTGTGAATCACTCTCTTGTGACGGCTCCTCTGAGTGTCCCATCTTGTTATGTTGTGCCTCCTTTGTTTGAGCAACCTATAAATAAGTTGTAGAAACATTTGTCAACCTATAAATAAGTTGTAAAATCCTTTAAAAAATGTTGTAAACATTACAAAAAACTTTTTTCATTAATGCATACCTTATCATTCACATTTGATCGTTGTGAATCACTTTCTTGAGTTCCCTGTGGAGCCCCATCCATGTTTCTCATCTCTTCATGTTGTTTCTCCTTTTTTTGAGAAACCTATAAATAGTTTAAAATAGGTTGTAAATTTTTTATAGAAACTTTTAAATAAGTTGTAAAATCCTTTAAAAACGTTGTAAATCTCTTCTAAAGCATACCTTATCATTGACATTCGAGCATTGTGGATCGTTTTCTTCATTAGCATGTGGAACCTCATCTGTGGCTCCCTCTTCTTGAGCAACCTATAAATTTAAAAGACATTTTAAATCACTAAAGATATTCTTTATAAAAACCAATCAGATTCATTTAGTTACATACCTTTTCATCATTCACATTCTCGTGTGAATCTTCATCAGGTGGACTGCATGATTCTTCTCTGGTCTCTGTTTGTTTGTTTTCCTGAAATGTGATTGGTATTTCAACCTCTTCT